GCTTATATAACTATTCTGTATTGAAGTTATCATCCGTTCCTGGTTTAGCGCGACAGTGTCGCGCAGCTACTTATTTAGTAATTACTATTTAATTATATATGTAGATATTACAAAACTCTTGATACAAGTTTGTAGGTGATTTATAAATATAGTTTAGAGTGTTTCAAGTTACTATATTATTTTGAGCAACACCAAGGCTATGGGCAGACTCTATGATATTAATATCAGTAGCACTGAGGCTATGAGAAAGCTAAATAATATCGGTATCAGCAATATTAAGGGTTTGAGTAGTTAGAATGTTGGTGTTAGCAGTATTAGCTGCATTAAGATTATGAGCAGCATTAATATTAGTAACATTAAGGATATAAGTAGGGTATTGAGATTGGCAGCACTAGTGTTGAAGTCTTTGACAATAGATATTACAAAAGTAAGAATTTTGATAATGTTCTTGATTTCATGTATTAGTTTGTTTTTAATTTCTTTTCACTCATTATTACACTTATTACACAATAACTTCTTTTTATATTTTGGATTTTTAGTAATTACTATTCGATTATACATATAGATATTACAAAACCTTTGATATAGATTTGTAAGCAATTTATAAATATTGTTTAGAGTATTTTGAGTCACTATATTATTTTGGGCAACACCAAGACTATGGGCATGCTCTATAATATTAATATTGGTAGCACTGAGGCTATGAGAAGGCTAAATGATATTAGTGTCAGCAAGATTAAGAATTTGTATGATTAGAAGGTTGGTATTAGCAGTATTAGCTGCATTAAGGTTATGAGCAATATTGATGTTAGTAATATTAAGAATATAAGTAGCAGTATTGAAATTGGCAGCACTAGTGTTGGAGTTGATATAAGTAATGGTATTGAGGTTGGCGGCACTAGTGTTGGAGTCTTGGACAATAGGTATCACAGAAGTAAGAATTTTGATGATGTTTTTGATTTCATATATCAATTTGTTTTAATTTCTTTCCACTTATTATTACACTTATTATACAATAACTCATTCTTATATTTTGGATTTTTAGTAATTACTATTTGATTATATGCGTAGATATTACAAAACCTTTGATACAGGTTTGTAGGTGATTTATAAATATAGTTTAGAGTATTTGAGCTAGTTTGCATATTGGAAAAAAATGAATTAAAAAAAGAAAAAGAAAAAATAAGAAAAGAATTTAATGTTAAGAAAATAATAAATATAGAAAAGAAAAGAAGTGAGTTAAAAAAAAGCAAAATAATAAAAAAAAAATTTTAATATGATGAGAAAAAGGTAATATAAGAAACAAAATATTATTATTTGAAGTCAATAAAAAGAGCAGTAAAATTATTTATATCTCAAGACATATTTATAATAGATAAGTAATATATCTAATAATTGACTATTTGCTTTTGTTAGAGGTAGTTATAACAATATCCAGTTTGTGTTTGCATGTCTAATTCTGTACTTATTCTTTATTAAAGTTCTAATTTTTAAACATTATTAACAATTACAGATTAAAAATTACACTTAATATGTCTAGAGAAAATTTTACCCCATCTTTTATTTAAAACTTTATATTTTATATAATTTTTTCTTAACAGTTAACAGGCAAGAAAATGTGAATTTTATATTTAATAAAATGAGTGAAGTGTCTTTTATTTAATATTTAATGGATGTAATGTACTGCCTATTTTTACATTCTTAAGTTGCCATATTTATTTTAACTTAATTTCTTAATAGTTTAATCAACAGGTATCACCAATTTTATATTCAACATGTTGGGAAAATTTATCAAGTACTACTTATTATTTTTTGTACAATTTAATTTTTAATATTCTCTTAAATTTCTTAATAGTTTAAAGAACAGGAAAATTCCACCAATTTTCCATCAAATATGCTCTAGAGGAATTAAATTTTATCAATTAATATTCTCTTAAATTTTTTAATAGTTTAAAGAACAGGAAATGATATTAATTTTCTATCAGATGTACCCTGGAGAAATTAAAATTTTATCAATTAATATTCTTTTAAATTTCTTAATAGTTTAAAGAACAGAAGAATGCCACCAATTTTCTATCAGATGTGCTCTGGAGAAATTAAAATTTTATCAACTTAACAGGTGTAATAATTACAAAAGTTTATACTATATTAATTTCAGAATATTACATAGGTATAATAATTATGAACATTTATGGCACAGTAAATTTAAATATAGATAGTCGAAAACTAGCGAAGGTACATGTAAAACTATAAGATATTATGTACAACAAATTATAAAAATAATATACAATAAATAAATTAATAAAAATTTATAACATTTTACAAAAAAATTAATAATTTTTAGCTTTTTTTGAAAGTTGACGAAGTGATATTTTTCTGAAAGTTGTAGAGTACTGCTATTTTCTACAATTTTTTGAATATAGCTATAACTATATAGAATATAAAAAACAATTTGAGAAATTAAAAAAATTGCAAAACTTCAAGACATTACAAAATAGTCAAGAAATAACCAAATTATACTTTAAAAAAAACTTCTATGCTTAAAAATAATATCTACTTTATTTTTTTAATTTTTTTTTTTAACGACGCTGCCTCTTTATTACTCATTTTGTGGAATGTATATGAATATACATTATTTTTACAAGATTTTCAGTATATCATTGGTATCAAATTTCTAACTACATCAGCAAATTTAATAGGGCGTAATATTGCGCAATAATTTATGAAGCTTAAGAAAACCGTAATATTACGTAAAAACTTTCGCAATATTGTGAAATATACAATTACGAAATATTACGTAAGATTATTACGCAATATTACGCAAGAAATTATGCAATTTTACGTAAATATTCGAAATAATTCGAAACAGATCGAG